ATCAATAGATACAGCAAAACAAAACTGAGAAAAAATAGAGTTATCAGATTTCAGAACATTAGGCTCATACATGAGACTAAATATGGGTTCCTAAAGGGGAGGTAGAGACAAAATTTAAATATCTCTTATTAAAAAACATTAAAATTTTTAAATTAATAATTATTAAAAAACTACCCACAATTGTTTTATATTATCCAAATCATTAATTTATAACATTTCTTGAATTTTGTTCCTATTAAAGTGAAAAGCTATAAATTTTGTATTTCAAAAAGGGACATAAGTAATTTGTGAAATTTTATATGCTAAATACTTTAGGGATCTATCATTACATAGGACCTAATATAAGAAAGAGTTAAAGATAAATACATATAGGATATATCTTTTAAACAATCCCAACAAAAAAGTTTTCTTATTAAACTGGCCAATAATGAACTATCTATCTTAAGTAAGTTGGCTATAAGAAGACCAGATCTATATAAGCAAATGAAATATATTGTGATAAAAATAGCCTCCAATACTATTGGATAGTTATTTTAGTCATAATTTTTATTCTATTTTTATTTTTATCTATTTATTTATAATTATTTTTTTGATATTCTTTGATATTCTTATTGATATTTAATTAGTATAGATTACTTTATCAAATATAGCATATGACATAATTTATTATAGATCAGGTAGCCCAGGAGGCTTAGGAGGCCTAGAAAATCTAAGTGATTCATTTTTACAAGTATATAAGCAGCCATAATTTATTTAAAAATAGGATAAGTTTGAATATAACTTCACTTGACTTTGAAGTTCAAGTATAATTTCATTTTGATTTTTTGAAAATTGAATATCTTCTTTTGATTTTAAAACTAAAGAAATTGTTCTAGTTTTTTTAATTATTAATAAACTTGGGTTTTGAGTAAACCATATTTCTTGTAAAACATTATATAACATTGGTTAAAGAATTATTGATGAATCTATTTTTAAATATTTCATTAATTATTATACTGTAAATTGCTTCTTTAATTCTTTTTTTGAAAATTGTCCTTTTAAAAGTAATTCCACTTGGACATATCAGTCAAATATAAATTTGATCATAGTATTGCATATAACCAATAAGATGAAACTATAGAACACTTGCTAGAATGTTTAATCTATAAGAATTAGCTCAAGAGGCATAGAATAAATGAATAGATAGAATCATTAAAACTTTAAAGAACTATTATGGAAAAAAAAAAGAGAGATTGAAGAAAAAAATTCCAAGCTGATTATCGATGACCATAAAGAAATAGAAGAGTTTAATAAGTAATTGCTAAAGTAGTGAAACAGACTTCTAGAATCAATTAGAAAATATCAAATTTCTGTACTGGTCTTATAAGAATCAACTTTATTCTAGAAATAGTAGATTTAAAATGACAAGATAAACATATAGAAAGAATAGCAAGAAAGTGAATAATAAAAATACAAAAAAAAATCTGCAACCAAGTCTGAAAAAAAGTTTTGAACAAAATATATGTAAAGGTAATTAAATAGAAACAATACAAGTAATTAATAATGAAGACAAGACAAAAAGACCTCTTTATTTATCAGATCAGAAAATTATAATTCTAAAGAAAAGAAATCTACTACCTGAAGAAGAAAACATTGAAAATAAAAGCCTCTAAAAAATTTTAGCAAGAAGAGTAGAGTATGAAATGAAATGATTGGGTTTTAAGCTTTGTTAGACCCTCACAGAGTAATCTGTAATAGTTACTTGCAAACAATGAAATTAACAGTTGGAAGGGTTTTTACCTGAACTGTTAATGGTATAATAAATTACTTCCAAAGTTGCACTTAAAGTTTTAATAATTCTTAAAATAAAAATAAATAAGTTAGATAAAAGCTTAGCTTTAATGATACATTTTTAATATAAAGTATACATATGTTTAATAAAGTACATACAGTATATCTAGCCTAACAAAGAGTATTAAATAAAAAAAATAAGTTTTTAAATAGTTAAAAGAAAAAAGAATATCTCAATAGTATATTTCTTATTAAGAAAAGATATTGAAAAGTAGATTTTTAAAGAAAGTTAAATAAAATTTTATTATTATTATCATTCTTTTTCTTTTTGTATTTTTATAAAATTTTAAATATTCTTTCTTTTTTTTTTTCAATTTATCTCGTATATAGTTTCCATATTTCAATAGCTTGATAGAATATATGATAGTAACAACCTACTGAAAATGATATTTAGTCTAAAAGAGTTTCAATCTAAATTCAACTAATGAGCAAAAATATTATTTTCAAGATCAAACTTAGAGGCTATTATTGCTTATAATGAATTTGTTAAACTTGATTAGAAAAGTTTAACTATAGTATATATCATGCTGCTCGAATGAAGTGTATTCAATTGATTAATAAACTACAGTTTAGCCTGGCAAATAATTAGCCTAATAGAGGATTAAAAAAAAAGAATTATAGTATACACTGTATTTGAAATTAATTTTATTTACAGTATATGCAATAAATATCGAAATTTTTAATATGATGCAACCAAAATTTCAGTTAAATTTATTTCGTATATAAAGATTTTGTCAATGTATATATTAACTGTAATATTTTATTTACTGCATATTTATGGATTAATATTCGTTCAGTAGTGGCATTTAAAAAGTAATAATTATTCCGACAATTTTTGTCTTAAAAAAAAAAAAAAAAAAAAAAAAAATCTTTTTGGTACCCATTTATTATTAACCTTCTTTTATATACTATTTAGTATTTATATACAAAAATTCAAGTTAACCGGTAAAAAAAAAAATGATTTCAAAGAAGTTACATTAGCATGGATGACATTAACGTGTGGTTATGTGATAGTTGTAAGTATAAAAATACAAATCGAGAATTAAATATGGTGAAGGAAAGAATCAGATTATGCTTAGATTGTAAATTAAAATGATTTTATTATCTAACTCAAAATAAATAACCCCAGAATTAATTATAAGAGGCAAACTGGTGCAAGAAGAATAAACCCGACCATCCAAGCTTCGACTTGCATCAAGGTTTGCATTTTTAATTTGAATATTATTACACCGTTGTTGCCCCAAACCCATTAATTGAAATTCCGCAGTCAACCGACACATTTTAAGACCCTAGCTCTGACGCCGCTGTATCATCCGACAACCCTGTCTGAGGTAAACTGGAAGGATAATTCGATCGTGGAAGTGTTGCCGGCACATTTCGAGGAGAAGTTGGTACAGAAACTGGCGGTGTAGATGTGGCACGATCGTCGAACGAAGCAGACGATATGCTTTCGACATCATCCTCTTCTGCCTGAAGAGCAAGATCGTCAACTTCGTCATCTGATGAATCATTTCGACTAAAGGTTGATTTTCCTACTAGTAGTAAAAATTCTCATTAGTAGATGCTATTTTATGCTATGATATATAAGTGGAATCATATATCATACCTGTAAGCTTCCGTTCCAGTCCAACGACTATTTCCGGTGCACCATCCATATAATGTACACTGTTCCGGTTACTCCTGCCATTGAGATCGTCCCTTATATCCCTGCGACGAAAAGCAGATGTCGGTGATAGGGCAACAAAATCGCCATCATTATTACTATTATTCTTCAACTTATGAGAATTTTCTGCGTCAGAGAGGACAATTATTTTTGCGGCAACCGTCGAAGGTTCGTCCTTGGGTGTATCTTCAATGGTTCTGGGTGCGGCAGAACCATCGCTATCAGTGAAAAAAATGTAATCGAATTCGGCCATGAGAAGACTGAAAACACCGGCAGGAATTCCTAAAGAAGGAGCGAATACAATTCCTATATTGCGTACGGTCATCTTGTTGATGTCAGATTTTTGAACAATTTGAATTAGGTGACTCGCCAATGTTCGCAATAATGTGTAATTGCATAGAGGGAGAGTGGACACTAGACGACCAAGTTCATTGATTCGATCTCGTCGGTCAAGTAGGTCTAAAAAATCAAACAATGAATGTTAGGTAATGAATGTATTCGCAATGAAATATCAAAAGTTATTTCTAGTGGAGGACATACCAATGACGTTTAAAAACTCCATGTGTAGCTCACGGGTAAGCACACTAGTAGGTAATTCTCTTAAATAGAGTTTCAGTAAACCAGCTACTGCATGCACGTCATACCCTCCTTCACTTAACAGGTCGACATCACCCTCAGTGTTAAACCTTTCTTTCAATAACTTGATCGTAGCAGTTGCACCGCTTAAACGATAAATTCCTTCTTCCTCTGAAGCATTTTTTGCATCCAGATATTCTATGCATCGATAAACTACTGCGGGAAGTTCATATCCTTCTTTTATGCGCACCACGGAAATAGCCTGTTCCAAAGGAACGCCAAAAACAACTCGCGACGGGTCAGGTCGCGGGTCTTGATATTTTTTCTTATCATCTTTGTGACTGCTTCCAAACATGTTTCCAAAGAAAGTTTTCCTTGAATTCTTTCGATCCTTTTTTTCTAATATCAGATCATGAGACTGTACATCCCAGGAGCTTTGAGAGGAAGGATTACCAACGACAGAGGAGACCAGCGAAGATTCCCGAGGTTCAGGAGTTCCACTCCGAACCATTACACGATCATCCTCGCGAACATTTAGTGTACCAACGTTAAGAGTATTTAGAGAAAGCATGCTCGAATTAGTGCTTGATATGGAATCGTTGTTGCCTTTCTTCCTATCATGACGACCATTTTCTTTCAAGACTTGCTCAGGAGTTACGATGGTTTCCTTTAATAATCTCCTTTTGTCCTTCTTTTGTTTACTCTTCTCTTGGACTTCATCTTCCGTTACGCCTACATATTGTAACAGTGCCTCCACCCATTCGTCTCTTTCAGCATCACTCTCTGCACATAGCACATGGCGTGTATTCTGAGTCTTGGAGCCTGGTTTCGGCTCCAAAATTAAGAATGCATGTCTATACGAATTTTCACTATCTTTGTCCACATCGTTCGTGGAATTATTTTGTTGCCGACCGATTTGTGCGTAAGTCAAACGAATAGACCCGAGATAATTTCCATCTTTCTATAAGGATTTCATTCAATTTTGAAAAATTATTATGAATAAAAAATAACCAAGATTTTCCTTAATAGAAATAAAAGATCTTACTGACACTTTCATAGTATTTAAAAATTGGAGAATCAAGTACGAAATATCTCGACTTCCAACCACCAAAATTCTTTCCTTTTTTTGTGAGGTAGCCTTCTTTGAAACCGGATTGCTTAATTTTAAGGGAAGATTATGATTAAATTTGCGCAGATAATCATCAATTAACAAGAATTCACTCATCAGTACAAACCTGATAATCTTTTTCATCCTGCTCAATGACATTGGCGCTGAGAAATTCGCATAAATCTTTGGAATCTTTCATTGGTAATGATATCACATGTTGGATGTATTGTTCAAGAGCGATCTACCAGGTTGATAGAAAATTTTTTAAAAAAAAAACTCGTAGCATCGGAATAGTTCAAATGTGAAAACTCGTTTAAGAAAGTCACCAACCTTTCGTTGATCTACTTTACTCGGTGCGTTATTATAGAACAGGTTCTTATCGGGTAACTTTTTCATCTTATTTGCAATCCTCTTGCCTTGACGTTGTTTTAACTACATAATAAAAAATAAATAAATAAAATTTATTTTTTAGAAATAAAAATAAAAAGATTACCCATCACATACAATTACACACCTTCGCGTCCAAAGCGAGGAAATCGGAATAGTATTTCTCAACCCTCCATAGCTCTTTTTCCATTCCAACTATAGTACCATCAACCACTCTGGCTTGCCCAACAGATATTATGAAGGATAAAACCTCTTTTCCTTTATCATTTATCTTTTTATTGCTACCAACGACCTTAACCGCAATACCGGATATGGACTCCGAGGATATGGCCATGGGATTTTCGGAACGAGACGATGACTGCGATTGCTGAGAGGTTGAACCGGAATTCTGCGGTTGTGAAGATTGTTGTGATATTTGAGGTTGTGAAGATTGTTGTGATATTTGAAGTTGTGATGATTGTTGTGATATTTGAGGTTGTGATGGTCGGCCGTTCGAAGGGCCGGTCATTATGTTAGCATCGGGGAGAGATTCTTTATTTCCTGTGTGTTGTATCACGCTCTCAACAGGTGGAATGTCTTCTTGACTTTGGTGTTGCTGCATGAGAACGCTATGACGCTTCCCTTGATTTCCAGGGATAAATAACGTGTTATTACCTATAGCGGGATTTTGGTCCACCGGGGGTATCACAGAAACGCGATTTCGTGGACTTTGAGAGATATGGCTAAAAGATTTGCTCGTTCTCAAAGATTTGTCTTTTGGAATGTTATCTGATTCCAAGAAAGCATTACCAAGGTTGGGATCACTGTGATTGTGAGTGAGAGAATCTCTCTGTGAATCATTGGAACCACTCTCAGAATCACCACCAGGAACCACCTTCGAAGAGGTTTCATCGTTCTGTGGATATGACTGTGACCTGACGGGATCCGGTTTCTCCAATGTTTGGCCGTTTTCCAAACTTTGTACACGTGAACTTTTTAGTAGTTGTTCTTCGCTGCTCCGTCGCTGTAATTTTGTCGAATCGGCAGCACCGTAGAGGAAGGCCCTAGGGGATGATGGTAAGCCGGGTGAACGCGGAGGCATGTTGCGAGGCGAATTAGGCAATGAGAGAGGTTCGGGACTGCGTTGGAACTTTGGCGAGTCTAAGTCGGTGTCAATAGTTTGTATTGTACTATGACGCTTATGTTGACTAACTCCACCACTGCTTAAACTTCCTGATTCTGAAGACTTAATTGATATCGATGGTGAGGGAGGATTTTGCAATAACGGTTGAGATCCTTGATATTGCTTGGATGTTTGGAAATTTTGTTCCAAGTCTTGAGGCAAACGTGCATGGTTTTTATCGGTCAATGAATCTATGAAAAGGAACGAGAGGTTATCATGTGATAGGGATCGCACATTCGAAGAGGAAAAAGGGAAAGGAACAAAAAGGATAATGATACCATTTTGATTCATTTCGTCCCGTTGCGAAATGGAGAACTCCGATTGTTGTTTCATATCCTGAAACATACCATTTGATTTCACCGGTGAAGGCTCACTAACAACTACAGGAGGAAGATATTGTGGGTCGGAGTCACCATAGAGACCTGGTAAAGAACCGGAGGTCTCTGGTTGTGATGCCTCCGAGTCTCGTCGCTCCATCTCTGGTGTGAAGGGTGCTCGTTTCTGTTCTTGTGTTCGGAAAATTTTTTGTGGTAATGAAGGTTTCGACTGGTGATTTGAATTCCCAATTTCCTGTGGTGCTTGGCGTGCTAAGGGTGATGGAACGAATGTGAAACCGTCTTCTTGGCGATTTAAGCTAATATCCGAGTCCTTTAACTTGACAACGAGTCTATCTCTTTCGTAAGTCAACTTTTGGTTATCTTTTTGTAGATTAGTTATTACAGTCTTTTGTCTCTCTATGATTTTCCATAGTTGATCGTTCTGTGACCGTAATAGATTACGTTCATTTATAAGCTGTTGTAGATTAACTTCGATTCCAACACCACCATCTTGACCACTGAAACGGTGCCCTTCGAAACTCTGAGATCTTTGTGGTTGAGTTTCGTGTGGTGAGGTCATAATAGCTTAACTTTTTTAGTCGACAGAATCACCCTGTGATTTTTCGCTCTCGTTTTGTTAAAACCCAAAGTTTATTGTTAGAATATGAACCTTGAATATTCAACCATAGATTTATTTTTGCGATTAATAGTTATATTGAAATTTGATAAGGGAGAAGAGAATGACAACGAATATTCAAATGGGAAAAATGAGAAGTGAAAAGGATAAAATCAATTTCGGACGAGTTTACAGGTCATGTGTTGATATAAATTTGTGGGGGATGAGGACGCACCAAAAGCATAAAGTACTGTGTGTTGTAGAAAATCAATTATGTATTTACGTTTTAGCTATCAATATGCCAAAAATAGCGTTGTGTTATTTATTCGTACATATGTGTATCAAACAAGGTAAGCATAGAAAAATAATCTAGCATGTAGTATAACCTCGGTACACATAAGGACCTCCTTATTCTAGAGTCTTCGACCTGAAATATTTCATATACCGTGATTATTATTGTATATATATAGTTATCTGGCAATATTGCGTTGGAATTAAAAATCCTTGATTTAGTCATTACAAATAAAATATTTTTCATTTTTTTTTCTCTCTTGCGTGTGCAAGTGATATTTAATTATCCATAAATCCCAGTAATTAAAAAACGCAATAATTACACGAGTTTGATCGTGGCACAAGGGTTATCACATTACACCACATCTCAAATTCAATATGAATCACGGTTGTAAATGTAACTAGTTAAATAAGAAATATTTGATAAATATATTATATTATAAAGAAATTAACATTTGATTTTCAATCTTTATTATTATTTAGAATATTAGCATTAGTACACAAGTGAAACCCGTTAATTCGAAGTAATTACCCCGATAACCGAAAATAGAGTAAAACCACTCATAGTAACTTTATCTCGATAAATCGAATTTACTAAGTAAACTTCGTTTAAATCGAATTTATATTAACTATATACAGTATATACAGTATATATTATTCCATTAAGTTTAATCTATAGTCAAATTAAAATGGTTTATCTTTATGACAAATATTTACAATATACAGTATTGTTAAGTTTATTATTTATAATTTATTATTATAAATTATAATTATAATTTTTAATTAAAATCCAATTATCTGAATGATAATTTCTACAATATATATATATATATACTATATATATAATATCTATGTTTTACTTTTTTTTTTTTTTTAATCTACAATCATGTCATCATGGCATGGCTTTATTGAGATATTAAATATCTATAATTTTATATGAACTATTCATATGATGACTAACTCATTTTTACATATTATTGGTTAAAGAATTATACTACTTAAAAAATATAAAAAGTTCATAAAATTATTTTGAACTAAACAAAAAAAATCTAAACTAGATACTTTAAGTTAGATTTAGAAAACAATATTATACTTTTCTGATAGATTGATTATAATTTATTACCATAAATTATTCTAAAAAACAATAAATTGTTAAATTATATATTGAGAAAAATGAA